TTTTGTTGGTTTTGTATGGAAAGCAGCCATATTGAAATTTAAGGTCAGGTTTGGTTAAATTACTTTTTTTTTAATCACGGTCTATCCAATTTGAAATTTTTAAACCTTTATCATCTAAGCAAAAATAGAAAACGTTTCTTTGAAGTTTATTTTTGTGCTTTTTTTTTTATATTACAGAAAGACCATAAAATCCAAGTCGTCTTGAACTGTTGTTTTCTATTTTCTGCCATTGTTTTATTACCAAGCAGACTTTACTGTGGTGTTACCCATCTTACATACTTAAGTAACAAATGTGTGTACTTTTAACACCACTGATTATATGTCTGTTTATAAAGCAGATCTAACAGTTGTAGGAAGCCAGACCTCAAGGCCTGCAGTTTACGACCTCTGACCTCAAAAATCAGTCGTGAAGCCGCAACTTTGCAGACTTTTGCCCTTTTGATTAGACCTACAGTATAGAGACTGTCTTCTTTCTTTCAGCTACAAAAAGAAGAAAAAAGATGCCTAAAATGAGGGAGGAAAGTTCTATAGTTTAACATCTCTTTGTACTGTCTCCAACAGATGTCTAATGAAAGTGCTAAATTCTCCTCATCCTCTCTGGATTTGCCGCCCAGCTACCATACCCAGACCAGAAAGACTGTAAAAGGCAGCGATGGGGAGACTCGAGTCCTGGATCGAACTGACAAGGTCAGACAGAACATTTGAGTTTGTTAAAAACCAAATTTGATGCATCATCTTTATCTAAACAAACGTTCTTATGGTTTATCTTCTGCAGACTCTCAAACATTGGTGTTTGTTTGCAGGAAACCGACAACAGGACAGGAGAGACTCATGTTTCCCACGTGCATATGGAGGTTTCTGGCCAGTGGAACAGCGTGAATCATGTAAGCAATTAGGAGCAGAATGGCATCATTAAGGCAAGAGGCTGATAAAGGAATCAACAAAAAGCCCACAGAGATGAGATGACCAAATAGCAAAGAGGATAAATGAGCCAGATATAAAGGGGGCAGGGGAGGGAGAACAGATGGATGCAGGATGAAATGCAGCTGTGCTGATAAGGAGCAGCGAGTAGATGGACCTGGACCAATAAACGTAAAACAGACCTCAGCTTTATGAAACTTGGAATAAAGAAAGCAGCAAGATAAAAATGACCTCATGTCTGCAACTTTTTGGCTTTAAAATTTCTTTTTGTGTAAACTAAAGTTTGCTTCACTTTGCTTTTCACCATTTCTAATTGGATTCAGTTTATTTATATAACGCCAATTCACAATACACGTCATTTTAAGGTTCTTTTTAGAAACAATGAAACCAGATCATGCAGTCAAATTGGGTCAAAGTTTTCTATCTAAGGAACAACCGCTGATTGCATTCAGTCATCAACTTTGCAGGATTTTTTTGTGTCGGTAAGCAATTGCTTGCATTGTGTTGTTGATGCTACAGCAATTCCTTACACTGAGCATGCATACAGCAACAGCAGAGAGGAAAAACTCCCTTTTAACAGACCGAGACCCCCAGCAGAACCAGACGTGTGACCGGCAAACTGGGGTTCAAGGAGACAGAAGCAGATATAAAAAAGGAACATAGATGCACTGATCTATAAATTCTTTCTATGCTAGAAAAGCTCATGGAAAACTAGCTCCATGGGCAGCTCTGTCTGGGAAAGAAACAGTTAATCGAGCTCTGAGCCAGTTTTCATTTCAAAAGGGATGAAGGAGAGTACATCCAGTCAGTCACAGTAAAAACTGTTCTCATAGCTACATCTAGAAGAGAAACATGACTAAACACTGAAAAAACAGGCCAGACTCTATCATCTATAATCAGAGGTGCTGATGTTGATGCAGAGGTATTTAATTCCAGTATGGAGTTACAGCCAAACAGAACAAGCCCAGCTGACGCTGCTAAAGACGATAAAGTTAGGGGTTGAACTAACAAGTACTGCAGATTTTAATAGTAGATGTAGAAGGATGGAAAGAGGTCCCCATGTCCTACAGCAGCTTAAGCCTATAGCAGCACAACTATAGAGAAAGCTCAGAATAACCTGAACTCTCTAACTACAAGCTTTATCAGAAAGAAAATGTTAAGCCTGGTCTTAAAAATAAACATGGTTTCTTTCCTAATTGAATTAAGACAAAATCTGAATTACCAAAGAAAATAATCAAAACTGTTTGAAAATCCTACCATTGTTTGTAAAATGTGAAAATGTGGAGCTATATTCTCTCCATTGCATCTTTTTCCATACTTTGTTAAAAGCTCCTTCAGGAAAGAACCCGATTGTATCTAATTTCAAAGTTTTTTTTTTACCAGCAGGCGGCCAGCTTAATGGAAACTGAGGTCATTATTACAACTTGCTGCAGTCTGCATTAAAAAGGTGGTTTTGATCTCCTGCTTTCCTGGCAGCCGTACAGATGGTGGCCATGTTAATGGTGCCTGCTAGAGGGGGAAAAAATGCCAGGAAACCTAAGAAGTAGAAGAAAATCTGCAGTAGCCAGACTGGGTAAGCTCAGCTTTACTGGTCTGCATCAGTTTGCATTTTGATACTAAAGCAAAGAATGACTGAACAAAAGAGAGTTAAAATCTTAATGGGATGGTAAAGACTTGTTGAGTCCTTTCTTTTTTTTTTTTTTTTTTTTTTTTTTATGTCAAAACCATCTAAGGAGAAAATATACTATATTAAAAATATTGTGTATTGATTGGTTTCAGGCATTTTTCTTTTGATGTTTAAGATTAGCAAGCCTTCAAACTAATTTATACTCTATAAAACAGGACACATCTCTGACTTTTCCAACATTCCTCAGTGTTGGAGCGTACATCTTTATTGGTTTAAGAGCTGCAGCCTTGGAGGAAAGTAGACTTTACATCTTGGTCACCATTTGTGGTGATTTGTCTGTGTGTTTGGATCCTTATGCCGGTTAAAGATCCAATCATGACCCGTTTTATGTTTACTGGTACATCCTCCCGGATTTCATTCAAAACCTCATAGCATTTCAAATAGATCATGATACAATATTCTCTATTAAGGTTCCCTGGGCTTTTTTCCACATCTTTACACATCTCCTTCCAATGGTGCAAAAGGAAGTTGGTCAAATGTCTCAATAGTAAAAACTGCAAATGGTCAGAAGATTTTAGAATATATTTTAGACACAAAGAAACTGCGGGTGCTAGAGGCTGACTTAAAGGAATAGTACACCCAAAACATGATTAGCCTTCATTTTCTACTCACCCCCATGCTGAA